AGGGGGTTACCCGGCGTACATCCTGGGTATTCCGGCAGCATGAACTTAGTACCTGAGTGGATACACTTTACACTTTTTGGGATAATACTACCCACTTACCCACCATAAAACTGAAATTGTACAGTTTTTTAGGGCTTATGAACTCAGCAACTAGTGAAGAGCTGAAAGCCTCGAGGTCGGATTGGCGCCTGTCAGGTTTGGGATTTAATGTAAGGGCCTTCATAACTGCATCTTAATCGCTGGTTGCCTGTTCTGAAGTCAGCATCAAACTAGGTGATGAATCACTGCAAGTGCTTCCCAAACTGCCCCCGAAGATTAAGCCAAACATGTGATGAACGTGTTTCACCAGCATGGTGATTGTATGTGTAGCGATATGCGAGCTCAACATTGCGTACCCGGTTTTGCAGCTTTGCAACCTCGGGATCCAACGAATTGCCTCCTCTGGGTTGCAGCATGACCTGAGAGCCTAAGTTGTATGTAAGTCTAGCCATTAGTAGTAACTTAAATCATCAAGCCGCAGAAGGCAGTAAATATGTGATTAAGTAGAATGACAAAACCTGCAAGAAGTATTCCCGGAGGCAGAAGGTGAGTAATGTTGCAATCAAGCAACCAAGGTTCGCTTGTCATGTGTGTCCTTGCTGCACACCCGTTAATGCATTGCCAACCCAGTCTTTGCTTCCATTCCTGACGCAAATCGTGCTAGCAATGATCTGCACGACTTGAACCCAGGTTCTTCTATATTCACCTCGCGAGAGAGATCCCCTGGAAGCCCTTCCCGAACTTCACTTTGATTTGGTACCAGGATGCAGTGTTTCGGGTTTAGAGTGCTTTTTTCTGCGCTTCCATACCACTGGCCCCCTGCAGTTCGTTTTGTTTCTATAAATAAGTTGCAAAAATCTGCACGTTCTCCTGCGTCTCCTTGCATCGATCTCTGCGAGAGAGGAGCGAACTGAAGACTGACACTGCACTGGAGCCTTTGTTGCAGGACCGGTTAGATGTGTGTCGAGACTCTGAGCCACTGCCGAGTGCGCGCTTACCCAAAGAGGCAGCAGTCAAGGGAAGAAGTCCCACCCGAGTAAGAGCTTTCTTGAACACGTAGACCCCAAGTAGATTTTTGAGGGTTTTTTCGGGTTGGCTCGAAGGCGACGGTCTTTGCAGAAAGACACAGGCTTGGTTAGCACACGAAGAGCTTGGAGAGGTTAGAGGTTTGAAACTTCTGGTATGCTTCGGTTGTCGCGCAGACCCGGCTGTCCGATGAGCTTCTCTTTGCTAATCCAGCTTGGGGGGCCGAAGCGGGGGGGAGGGTGAGTCGGGGTACTGCTTTCTGCAGGGACGAAAAGCTGTTCCTCTACCCGCCCAGCTTTATCCAAATCCTCAAGTTCTGTACAACAGACGGGCAAGGCCCAGATATCTAAGCCTGCGTTCGATGCAGCACCGTGAGTGTGAAGCATGGCAGGTAGCTGCATATCTGCCCATGTGGCTGCTGAGCCTGCTCTTTGTCTACGAGCGCGGGGCCAAGCACCGTGGAACGGAGATTGCCTTGCGGGTTTAGGGTTTCAGCAGCTGAAACCAATGCACAGGCTATCTGGCGGCCAGACTTGTTCGTTATATTGTTCCCTTATTGTATAGTCCCTATCTAATTAACTTAGAGTATACCCCAAAACATTAGTTGAAAATTACGCCGCCTGTATCAAGAACGAGACATCACCCATGGTTCCAGGAAGCTCCAGCTGTCTCGCTGAGGCCTGTGAACCAGTTGCTGAATCTTTACCGTCCGGCGGTGACAGCGTGCCACAACATGCAGGCAATGTCCAGTTTTGTCACAGAGTGATGAGACCGTCGAATTTCACCTGCCTCGTCTTCGGAAGCTCTGTGCAGATGCTATACTTGTAGTACCGCGAGCTGCGGCCTCAAGTCTAGCATGTGTCTCTTCACAGGTCTCGCAGGATTCGTCCACCTTGAACTTGACAAGCCGCTGTGCAAAACCCCCATTGGCTCCGTCCTCTGCGCAGATCTTTGAGTCTCTGTTCGCGGTCAGCGTGGTCGGCGCAGGCTCGAAAGTCCAGCGACTTCGGAAGGGGGGGACTTCTGACTCCAGCTCGGGAGTTTTTAGAGCTCGAATCTCATCACTACGGTATATAGAATCAGTATTACGATGAGTATCAGCACGACTGTTATTACAACGATCATGTCCTCCATTAAGCAACGACTCGGGACAGATCAATTGATATGGTGTGTTAGAAAAGCACACAGCCTTTTACGTCTGCACTCCGGCATGCATGCGGAGTAGTCATATTGATCTTTATCCCCAAACCGTGTGGTAACACCATGGTTCTTGCGTTGGTGGACAGAGAACTGATTGGGCCTGCGCCGGGCGCGCGTGGAAGAGGAGCACCCCACGTCCCACAGCAGATCGTGCTCAGGCATGCTGCTGAACCTCGCCAGTACTTGGGTTCGGGGCGTGGTTTTGGCAGCGTCCTGGTGGTCTCCTGCTTGGTCTCCTGCTGGTCTCTTAGTGCTCTCTTGGTGCTCTCTTCGTGGTCTCCTGGTGTCGTGGGGTTCACTTGCCGGGCTCTTGCTGGTCTCCTGGTTGTCTCTCAGAGGTCTCCTGGTCCGTGCCCTTGTCATCCTGGTCGTGCTGGTCGGAGTGCTCGTCGTGAGTGGTAACATGGCGTAAATGCTGGAAAAACACAGGCGGCAACTAGTTGCGACCTGAGTTTTAGCAAGCAATTCAGGCCCGTTCGCATGTCACTGTCGTGGTGACTCTCTGGTCCCAGTAGCACACTTTTGGTGTGGTCTTTCACCGTTAAGGCATCTCCGCAGGCAGAGTTGTGCAGGAAGGTTGAACGTGCTAAGTTTTGCTCTTCGGGTGGTGGTGGCACTGGTATCGGAGATCACATGCCTCCTTCTTCCAGGCATCGGCTTCGTAAGGCACTTCAGTGGCCTGCACCTCAGCTCCTGCGGCGTGAGCTTCGGGACTCATCGATCCGAGAACATGCCCTGCCAATGTGCATTGAGGGTTGAATCAGACCCTAAACCCTAAATCCTAAACCCAGGGTTCAGTGGTTTAGCGCTTGGGTGAGCTTTGGCTCCTGGGCTCACGACAGACCCAGCCTGGTGACCCAGCCCTAAACCTGTCACGTAACAGGATCGTTGATGATACAACTGCAATCCTAGCCTCGTTTTAGCTGGCATAGCTAATCGACCCGAGCTTGGTCCCGATCCGTTTTTTTGGGTTGCTCCAGTAGAATCGAATCCGCCCCAACTTCGCAAGCCTTCCGCGAGTTTAGTCCACAAGCTTAATCCAGATCTTGGTTTGCTCCCATGTGATGTCAATCTGGAGGTGCGAATCCTATCGAGTTTCCAAAAATTGGATTTAAAACCGAAACTGAAAGTCATAGGCTATAGGCCATAGGAAGAAACCCTGAACCGTATATTGAACCCACATGCCCAGATCTAATGTAGAAGCTTGACTAGTTACCATATTTTCATCGGACTCCTCATAAGAATGAAGCTAGAATGCCCCAAAAGCCAACTCTGATTGTTAAGGCCCCAGGGTGAGCCTCCCATCTCCGCACCTCCGAGGCAACGCCGGTGCCGTTTGCATCGGCATGTTGGTCACGGCCTTCTGCTTGTGGTTGGAGCCAGAGCTTCTTTGTGAGGCCTTTGGGGTTGTTGCGTTTTCCTCCGAGGGGTTTTTGGCTGGGTTTGGGGAAGGTATTAGGGATGCTATGTAGGCCAGCCCCGTCGCTTTGGACATGTCTCCCCCTTGCGACTCTCTCTCTCTCTCTCTCTCTTCGTCTGTCTCTGTCGTCCCGTGCACATTGGATTGTTCCTTGCCAATCAGCATCCTTAGTATGCTCCATGTCAAGCACGTAACAACATGGGCCCACGAGAAGAGCACAGGGATTCCGGAATGGTCGTCGCTTCGTGGGCTGCACGCCCTGCGAGATGTTGCCCGGACTTTGTGAGGTTTTTCGTTCTGGTAAGATGCTTTGCTTACGGCTTCTGATGGATGCATTCCAAACCTTGAATATGACTTAGCTCTACACCCTAACTCGGACTTGAACGAATGTATAAGTTCAAACCTCTACAGGGCCGGTGCCAAGCTTACACACCGACGCCCCGGCCCCAACCCCTCTGCCTTCTGCCCCGCTCCGAAAAAGAGGGCGTTGTGGGACGTCAGGGGGTTTGGGTTCGCGGTGTGTTGGGTTCAGGAGTCGCGGTTTTCATGGGCTTCGAATTTAGGGTGTAGGATCTGCAGCTAGCAAGGTCTTCCCCCAGTTCTTGCCTACGCCAATGCCTCCCGCCCCAACTCTAACCCCCGACTCGTAGCGAAGCCCAAAACCAAAGTAACCACCCGAAACCATCGCCTAACCCAAAACCAAAGACACAACCCAAATCCTTACCCTAAAAAAGGCACACCTAAACACACGCATACACTTCGCATCCAGTTCTCAACCGGCCCAAGCACGCAACCATTTCAAGCACAACCCAACTCACAGCCACCAGCCACTTCCATAACCTCGTCTGGGAACCTCAGCAGGGGTCATTGGAGCCATTGGGGCACTGCTGGTCACTGCGGATTCTCTCCTTACCTGCTCTCTCAGAGCTTGTTCTTTTTGGGCTCCAGTTGCCTCCGCATCCTCTGTATTTCTAGGTCCTGCGCCTGCGCCCGTTGATCAAACCCTAATTAATTGCCTTGCAACCTTAGCTTGAATCGCTTCTTGGGGCAAGGACGATGCATCTGTTCTTAATTGGGGCCTTTCGGGCATACCAGCATACAGTAAGGGGGCCCTCTGTTTTAAGGCATGCATGCGTTGCAACATGTCGGCACTCAACAAGGGGGTTTCGGGGTGTAGTGCTTTAGTGATTTAGGGTTTTAGTTTAGATCTTTTTGGCGCGCAGGGTCTAACAAACCGACAAGGCTTCCGGGTGCCTTCCTCTGTGCATGGCTGCTGGAGGTGCAGGGGTTGAAAGTTGAAAATCGGGCATGGCCTGCAGGGGCCGAATCGGAAGCTCAGTTGGGCTAGATGAGAGTTGGAGAACCCAGAGCATATCCACGTGACAGAGAAGCAATTTGGTTTCGCGGGGTGATCATCACGCATCGGTTTTTTGTGCGATGTTGGTGTCAATGGATTTCTCGAGCTTCATTCCCTTGTCAACCGGGGAAGTGCCTGCTGTGTTTCGCGGAATGTCAGGCCTTGAATTCCAGAGCCCGAGATTACAGTATAATAATGTTTTACATTAATCGTTATTGCATTAGAGGTCTCGTAGAGTATAGGAAGGTATGGTAGAATATCGTATTCAGTATTATACAGTATACTGTATAGTCCAGTCTAGTCCGAAGCACCCCAATTCCGGACACTCTGAGCACCTGGGCCCGGAGTCGATGCAGTTGCCGCACACCCGTTTTTTAACTCCCGAGGTATACTACTGTTATGGTTATTATGATAGTTTATGACACTTAGACTTGTTGTTACTGTGTAAGCATTATGATTACTACTCCCGGTATGACTTCTTAGTGATCCCCAAACGTGCGCAAAATTTTCACATCTCTTCAACATTGCCATCCTTCATGGGAATCAGGGTAACACACGTTCTGCTCCTGATGAAACTCGTCGACGCCAACAAGCACAGACCAGAACCCCTGGCTGAAATGTTGTGTTCAACTTGAAACACCCTCCCGTCCCGGATCCAGCTTACACATGGGTCTAGGCAATGTGTCAACCAATGAAGCTTCTTATACGACACTTGAACTCCAGCCCCCCAAAATTCTCAATCGTGGACG